AAGAGCGTGCAGCCCAGGGAGATGTGCTCCCATGGGACTCCATACTTACTTCCAGGCCTCCACTCCCAAAGGAAGGATAGGGTCTTGGATCCTGTCCCTGCCCCTGCTCACAAGTCAGTTGTGCAGGTCAAAGATGGCATTTAATCCTTAACCTGTACCTGTTCTGAAACTGTTGTAACTTCAATGCTGTGCAGAACTCCATGGATTTAGAATGGTGCAGAGGTAACCTGTAACAACATCCTGTGACTTCTTTCTTTAGTTCTAAATTTTATTCCTGCTACACTGCTTCCGTTTTCTAAATGTAGTTGCTGTCTTTCTTCCAGTTATTGTGAAAAATAAGTGATATGCACAAATCACTGTTGTGCCCAGTGGCTTTAGTGAGTTCATGGATCACTCAGGATTGGGGGAAAGGGAGGCAGTTAGAGTATGCTGACCATGGTAGATAGGCAGAGTGGGGTGGGGAATGGGAAGGGGAATAGGTAGCAGCATGAGTGAAGGGAAATCTTACCTATTCAGACAGGTGCTGCTACTATTCAGTTTCAACTCTCCCATGGCTGAACTCTGCCAGTCAGAGTGGATCCTGGTGTCTTGTTTACTTCCCCCCCCCCCCCCGTTTTTGCCCCCCCCCCCCCCCCCCCCGGCATATTAGGAACAGGGCTATGTTTCCTTTGGCAAAGGTTCTTTAGGGAGGAGGGTGGAGCAGCATTATACTTACCCCACTTCCCCTCAACTTTATATAGCGGGGTGTGGTGCCGTGTTGTCCTGGCAGGAGGATCCTGGTGCCCCACTGTAGTTACATTGCTGGTTCTGCCTAGTAGAGAGTGGACATAAAGGTTATCAGTTAGTGGGTGTAGTTGTAATTGAGAGCAGTAAGTAACCATGTTGGTCTGAAACCTGGCAGAAGGCAGGGAAGACTTGTACCTTTTAAAGACTAAGGCAGAGACACATAAGCTTACTTCATCATATTGGCAGCATTTTTTTATTGTTAGATGCGACGCACTATAGAGAATGTATTACTTTATTGTTCTTCATGACTTTAAAGCACTAATGCATTCTGTTTGTTTGTTTTGGGTTTTTTTTAAGGCTGAATGCCAAAAATTTTATAGACCATATGTTGTACCCCTCTGGCAGTACTAGGTTAACTGCCAAATTGAAGCTGGTAAAAATATATTTCTAAGGGGTGTTTAACTTTTAAAAAATTAACTAGCTTTATAGTAAGCTGAAAAACAAGACTATTAACGTTCAAAATGTTAAGGTTTGATATGTACAAAGTCCAGTAATATTGACTGCTTTACCTACTTGAAACAATTCTGCACTGGTTGGCATTCTGATGTGGTGTGATTTTTATTTTTTGCTGGGTGTTGTGAGACTAGAAATTCCTTTCCAGTTCTATAGGTCTAGATCCTCAACTTCTTTTGTAAAGCAGTATAGCTCTGCTGGAGCCCCTGAGCTACCATGCTTTAGTTTCTACCAGTTGAGGATCTAGCCTATTATCAAAACCTGAGGAAACAATTAGAACCTATTGCATGGTCAGTTTTTAGTGTTTTATATTGGAGGAAAATAGGCCTATCTGATCTGTGGATTAATCTGATCATGGATAACAAACTTCACAAGTGACCTGTAAGAAAGACCTGGTCTAAAAATAACCCTGTTGGTAATCCTCTTGTGTACTCCAGGAGTAGTAGTAATAGGATATGTCTATGTTCAGGCACTCCAGGGGAGCTGGGTTATTGACAGTTCAGCAACATGGAGCTCTGTGTAGGCTGCAAATCCTACCTGAGAAGTGGGGTGAGCTAGCTGTCCTTAGGCTCTGTTACAGCAGCTAAGCTGCTACTGATACCTGAACAAGCATGCCTACACTACCATGCAATATCTTTTCGGTTCTAGTAATTATTTAAATGAGAAACTCCTCTAATGGTAAGAGTTGGCTCTAGTTGTAACACAGGCATGAGCTTGTTTTCTTCACAGTAATGGGACAAGAGTAAGGTGAACTGTGAGAAGTAACAACCTACCCCAAAAGCATCAATCGCCATCAGTAATCAATAGCATTTAGTACTGTTTTATTCTAATCTGAGACTCTGAATTTAAGATGACACCCCCCCCCCCCCCCCCCATAATTACATTCTAGTAAATGTTATAAATTTCTGTGTATAGAATCTAATTGGGGAGGGGTCATCTTGTAATTCATCTGTCCCCACTGTCTAGTCCACTGCAGTGGTGGGAGATGAGTGGTATGGGGAGGTTAAGCAGCTTGCCCCCTACTTGTGCCTGCCCCCCTTTACTCTTGCTTCATGCTGACAGGCTCTGTCCCCATTCTAACCTGGGGCACCGAGCACAGTCCCTGCCGGCCTCTGTAGCGGCCGTGCAAGCTGTGTGCTTCTGCTCTCTGGATGTGCTGGAGCCATGCTCGGTGTCCCAGGCTGCAGTGTGGATGCAGCCTGATGGCGTAGAGCAAGAGTAAGAGGCAGGTAGGGGAGCCGAGGCTCCTTGGTGTGGAAGATGGGGAGAAGGGGCTACAGGGGGAGATGGTGGATTGTAGAAGCGACAGGGACAGGCAGCAGCTGTGGCTATGGCCCTGATTCCTAATAGGGTCTCAAGCCCCTCATCCTCTAGTCTAAAATGAAGGGGTTTGCCCCCTCCCATGTTAAATGGGGGAACCTAATCTTAGAATTGAGTAAATACTGTAAGTAGTATAATTAATCAATAGGATTAATCTAGTTGACAGGTCAGTAGGTTTTTGTTTAATTCAAACTTCCATGTCCAGGCAAAGCTTTGCCTGGCCCATTATGACAAATTATCAACATATTTTCCTAATAATAATAACCCATATTACATTGTATTTTGAATGTTAACAGATTTTGTTCTGTGAGAGAGACACCAGCATTTTGATGCAGTCTGGCCCTCTCAACTGCTTTAAAAGAAAAGGGAAGGCAATAATTGGAACATAAATTACAGCATCTTTTTTTTCCCCTTCCAGTTCCTTCCAGGCTAAAGCAAAGATTTTTTTTTTTTCTTTGAATATTTCAAGAGTACTTTTTATAATATATATAAATGATGAAGATTCTAAAAAGTTTGCAAACCAACCATGAATGTGGATGTGACTATCGATCCAAGCTGAGGGAAAACAGTTACCTCTGACCTCTCATACAAAACAGTTTGACTCTTCCAAATGCTGCAGTGTGGGAAAGCTGCATTGCTGTACTGAGTCTATCTCAAATGCAGTCTTGTCAGGAAAACAATACACGTGAATCAGTTGTTACTTTACAAAGAAATTAGTACCTTGTCTTCAAATCTTTTGATCCAGGAGTCTGAGAAAAAGTTCCCCAATGTTTCTGATGTATAGGCAGGATCTAACTGCAACACTTTTTTTTTTTTTTTTAAAAGCCAAAAACAAAAGATGGGTAAAGAACCGAATTCTTTAATGAGTGACGGAGGCTGAGGGAGATGTACTCAATTGGTTTGCCTAAGGACTCTTGCGTTCTAGAATGCTGCTAGCATCTATCCAAGCTAAAAAGTTAATTAGGCAGGAACAAATAATTCTCTCTGAGGCTACTGAAAAGTGAAAAGCTGAAATCGCTGTACAAGAACTGATTCAATTTTCGAGCTTGAGTGCCTTTTAATTGCATATTTTTTGTCCTGACTTTCAGCAGTGCAAAACCATCTGATTTTTTGAAAGGTGTTATGGATGTGCAACACTTCAGATTTTAGGTGCCTAATTCAGCAGCTACACGCTGATTTGAGGTGTCAGACCAGTGTTTTAGGTGCTATATTTGAAACTAGACTCGACCAATGGTTTGAGAGAGTTTTTTTTTTCACTCTCTAAAAAATGCAAAGTGCTTTACAATCCTAGGTTTTTTACTTTCTTCATTTGAGCACAAAAGGAAACTGGTCTAGGGAACTGCATAGCCTTTTTTTGGAGGGGGAAAAAGAAGTGCCCCTAAGCCAGGTTTTTAATGGTATATTTGTCATTTGTACAAGTGCCTAGTAACTTTCCACCCCCCAACCCCAACAAAAGGACCAAAATAGAAGTAGGCTGCTAGATTCTTCTCAGTACTCAAATAACCACCCATCTCTCTTATTGGATCTTTTGAAAATAACATTAGGTATTTTGCTATACCTTTTAAGTACCTAAATACCTTGTTAAAATCTGGCCTTAAGGCCATATGTATACTACTACTTCCTGAATCTGTCTGCCATGGACAACGCATGGTTTTCAAGACAGAGCATGGCCCCAGTGATGGCACATGGAACCACTCATGGTTACTCCTGAGCTTTTTTTTTACACAGTCTAATTATAAGGGTCAGGAGTGACCCACTGGAAGTTGGTTGATGCAGGGTTGGGAAAGGGAAGATGCAGGTTAAGGATGTTTGCAGATGCTAAGGCCCCCTCT